TGCATATTTGTCGAATATAATTCAATAAGATTTTCGTGCGTACAACGCCCTACGAGGAAGATTGAACGTTTCGCAATTGCGTTTCTTAATCGATGTAAAAAACTGTTTTTTTTTTTTTTTTTAATTCAGAAAGAATTAACGCAAAATATAACGCGCGCGCACTCTGCCGGAGAATGGAATGAACCCGTCCGTGATTCTTTCCTCGTTGCACCGGGCATTAGAATCGTCTCGCTCGTAGGATCCCCGTGCGGATAATTCAACACGGTGACAACCGTTGCTGCACACACCGTCGAGAGGATCTCCCCTCCCTCCCCTGGCCTCGCGCGTCGAGAGCAGGGACGGAGGGGTGACCGCCGCCGAATGGCCACGACGCGGCACCCCCTTCTACCAGATCTCTAGTATAACACACTAGCTCCCCACTTTTCTTGCTCCGCCGCGAATACCAACGAGGTGGGTCTATAACCGTCCTTTGTGTCGAGTTGTGCTGCCACCTGTCCAACAGTTTCAACGACCTTGCCCATGACTAATTTCACCGAGCATTTTCGGATGGTCGTCCGTAGTTTCATCCTGAACCATGGAAATGACGTCTGTTTGAGAGAATATTCAACTATGACCTTCCTCAGCAAAACTATGATCAGGTTGATTGAACCTTGCGATTTCTCTTGAATGAAGTAGCATTCGTTTTAAACATTTTGTGTACAGAAAGTTTTAATAATATAAAAGACATTTTTATTTTTAATGTATCTAGATACAGATATTCAATTGTAAAGAATACCTACATACTCAGGTAAAGCCGATTTCCCAATATGAGCCATATACATCAATATTGGTCATTATAATATTGGCTATATTGGTTGGACAATAGTTGTTATGATGACAATGTAATTGTAAGTTGACCATATGAAATTTATACGCGTGATATGTGTGATCAGTATCATATTGGCTAACATTGGTATTGGCCATATTGTGTAGGATCAATTTGAAAACTAAAGGATATAAAATATAGGGGAAGATGGAGAAGAAGTACTTACACATCTACATATTTTATACGATTGATTGTGTTTACATGTCGATCGCGTTATCGTAATTGGATTGAATTAGCTGCTGGTAATCGATCTCCCTTTATTTCAGGTTTCGTAGCCCTTATTACCTATCTTAAAGGATCGGGGAATAGAGGGAATAGCGATGCATATCCGTTGCGTGTATCATAAAATTGTAACAAGGCGCACATCTGTTCTCCCTTCTTAAAGGGGAAATCGCTTTCATGGGACGTCAGTTGAGCATTAACATATCTATATACGATGATGTTCCGTGCAAATAATTACGAGTCGCGCGGGATCGCGAACGCAACATGCGACGAGCCGCACACGGTTTGCTCGCGACGTCGAACACGACGAGTTCTTTTCGCTTTGGTATTACATGCACACTTTTTATTTATTGCGCGCGATCCATAATTGCAGGTTATTGCCAGGACTGATAGCTCTTTTTTCTTTATCCAACTCGCGCTTGCTGGCTCAATTCGCGTGTGAGGCGGGAAGGAAGAAGAGGGATGGGGATGTGGGGAGAACCCGTCCATTTTACACGCGTATATCGTGTCATCTACGATACAACGTGTCGTAGTGTGTTTTACACATTTGCGTGCATCGCCGATACACATCGCTGATTCACATCGCGATCTAACATTTTACTTTGGCAAATTGTCAAACGTACCACTTAACATCTATATCGCGCGAATTATGCGTTCACAAGCCTTTCGGCGATGTTGTTTAAGCGAGCCTTTTGTATATATAATTTGACTTTTATAAAACGGTTTCTATCGAATGTGTGCATGTCGAAAATATTGATCAATTAAAAAAAATCCAATAAATTTGAAACTTTTGATTATATTCTATTAAAATATTCCTTTACGAATCTAATTGAATGATTAAAATATACGAAAAAATATCAGTACACGTAAGATTCAACAATGCATATCATAATTTGATAAGTCTTGAATTAAATTAAATTAACTGAAATTGAACACACACACATACGACAAAAAAACTCTAAATATAACAATTATATTCAAAACAGAAGAAAACTCGATAAAAATAAATGCCCGATATACTTTCTAAGGGGATGGGACAAATCTATAACCTCGAAATAACAGAATCTCGAATTGTAGAATTGTAATTTCCAATTGTGAATCACTTGACAGATAATTCAGTAACTTTCTGTCACAAAACGGACGCGCTGCACAGTTCATATCACTCTACCTCGCTTTTTATCGTCTGGGAAAATGGAGATACCCGCGACATCAATATCATTATCTCGATTTATCGTCAATAGTTTGACACGACGATGATGACATCATTATAAGACAATCATCGGACATCATCGCGTTGTATCCTCTCGTCGTCACCACAAATATTATCTCAAAGTTGAAGACGCTCGATCTCCGATGATCGGTACACGCACACACAAAGTCCACGTGGTTACCAGAGACTGTTAATTTTCGAAATTGCAGTTTAAAGCGACTACATCGACGCTCTCTGTGCACATGGACAAATTTGACGTTGCATTCGCGGAAAATCAGCATCGTAAGAACAGACGAACGAACGGAGAGGCAAGATAATAATAAAGCGAAGTTGAAGAGCGAAGGAGAGAACGAGAGAGAGACTTCCTACGTGTCGGCATTTCGCGATGCACTCGCGAAGAAGGAAGGTGCTCGCACACGAGCAGCAACGCCCTCTTAAAGAAAGCGCGGGGAAGGTGAAGACAAGGGGGAGGGCGAAAGCAGGACGCGGAGAGGGAGAGTTTGTGCGCGCGATTGTGTGTAGACCGCGGTGTTAACAAACGGTACACTAATGTTTCACATCTCGGTTCTGTACCCTTCCCCCCTCCTCCCCCGTCTCGTCGTCCAACCCACCAGCCCTTTGTCGTTCTTCCTCGCTCCCGGTCACGCCGGGTCCCGAGTCCGTCGCGTCGTCGGCTCGATCTCGCTCCCTCGTCGGCGAGCACCTCCGTCGCTCTGTCGAGGAGCGAGAGCGCGAGGTAACGGCTCGGCGTGCCGTGCACGTTCGTTCGGGAGGTGACGACGAGAAGAGAGAGGCGACGGGCATCACGAGCTTCAGTAGTAGTCACTCTCGCCGTCCTGCATACAACCATCGGTCGAAAGGAGGAAAGAGAGGCTAGAGCGAAGGAGACCGGAAGAGGCGGGGCGAGGTTAGTCCGCGCCCACGGAGGGGAAAAAAGCCAAGCTCCGCACCTACCGTGGCAACGCTAGAGGGGATGCGAAAGAAGTATGGAAGGGGACAATTTATCCGACGTCTCTCGCCCGCCACGCTGGCTCACCGACACACCGACACCCGGTCGGCGCGCGTGTACGCGTAAGCGCGCCCGCCGCTAAGATATATCCGGTTGAACCGCCACCAAGTTAGACGAGCATGTGTGCGGGGACCGCGCACACGATCGTCGATCAGTCGGCGAAAAATACGTCTCTTTTTCTCGTCCAGGTGCGCCCTTCCGCCCTCTTCCCCTCTCGGCCCCTTTGGGGGAGACCCCCACCAACAACGGGGTATACTTCCGCACCGGCGATCCGCTACCTTCAACCGCCCCTATCCGCCCCTTTCGACGGCCAGGAGGGCGACAAGTACGCGCGAGGAGGCGAGTTTCTTTGAAAGAACTGCGCAAAACATCCTCGCGAGACGATCCTCGGCCGAGATCTCCATCGCCATCGCCGCGATTGTCGTCTACTCAAATTTATCCTCAAAGTACACAATTAACCCTTTTTATTTGGGTAGATCAGATTCGATTAAGTAGCAAAAGTATCGTTAAAAAAAAATTACTCGTCCGTTTCATTTTGGACAATCTGAGAAATGTGAGGCGAGAATCCCGTAACAAACATTACATGCTCCGACGAGATGATTGACGCTCGGGGCGCGTGCGACGAAACGTTCGTGCGACATTGTTACGTTAAACTGTCGGAACGAGCGTAGTACGCGGCGTAAACGCGTCCGTGTAATACGCTCGCTGGAGTGACGATCGCGCAATGTAAATGCGCGCGAGAGAGACGGACAAGGCGAGAACGAGACCGTGAACGACGGACGGAGGAGAGACACCGACGATGAAAGAGAAAGACGCGAGTTGGCGTAGTCAAGTGTCGCGTAGTGCGTGGAATAAGGAGAAGCGCACGGCATCGGAGCCAACGCCGAGGGGAAGGGGGGCGAAGTAGTCGGCGATCTTGTCGTAGCGCGGGGAAAGAGGAGGTGGCGGTGAAAAAGAGAAGGAAAGAAGAGACGATGGTGGGAGACACGGATCGGAGTGTGCGGTCGTGTCCGAGGTGGAGGAGGAGGAGGAGACGGTGGAGAATCGGTCGGCGGGAGAGAGGGCAACGAACAAACTACCGGGAAGAAGTCAGCGGCGAGTAAAGCAGCGCCGCCGAGGCTAAACTTCGGGATCTATCGAACTAAAATTGTCGTGTAGTTTCTGCCTCCGTGCCTCCCGACCCACCCAGCCACCCACCCACCCCCGTGATTTCCCCCTTTGCGTTCGCCCTCTCGCTCTTCTCGCCCCACCACGTATCGGAGCGTGGCAGCATCTCGGCCGGTCGCGTCCCCCGTCCGTCTCCGTCGACCCATCCCCTCCACGCGAACGAAAGCCGAGAACGAAGAGGGAAGAAAGCGACTACGGTGGGGCGTCGCGAGCGAGGGCGAGCTATCCCGGCCTTCGCGCGAACGAGCGAGACGCGAAAAACTGAAAGAGGAAAGGACGGAAGAGACCCCGACTCGTCGCGTCGGGGTCGAGGGGGAGGGGAGAAGGCAGGGAGAGAACGCGAGCGCCCCACAGGCGACTCACCATATTTTATTGTCGCGTTTGCCGACGCTAACCGCCGAGGCTCCGTTCGACATTCGAGGAGAGACACGTAGGGGAATCCGCGCGGGAAGAGAAGAGTGCCACGCACGACGACACACGGCACGGTGCGCTACGACGAGGAGGCTACGCGTCGCGGACGAATTCGCCCGCGCGCGCGCGCGCGCGCGGGCGCGCGGGGGGTACGACAGAGGTGGTGCCCGTACCCCCACCAGACTGCGCGCCACGTCGACCTGGACCCTCCCACCCGTCTCGCCGACGGCAAACCATCTCGCAAAAATCGTCCCCCTTTCCGCGGAAGGAAAAGAACCACGGCGACGACTCTGCCACCACCAACTACCACCACCACCGTCAGTGGCGAGAGAGAGTTCTCTCGTCGGAGCCGTTTCTCTCGTCATCGGACCACCACCACTAGCGCGATACTATCGTTACTCTACCCGCCAGCGCCATCGGCACTGTGTACCCGTCGCCTCCTCCTACGACACGGCGATCAACCGTCATCTCGCGGAATCTCGTGGGTAACTTACAGGGGGCCGCGTCGCGTTCTTTCGCGACCAAGGAGGATCCGCGCCGGGAACAGAAACGGGCAGTGCTCGTCGCGTTCGGATGAATGTGGAGCAAAGTTACTTTCTCCAGTGACAGTCGTGTCCAAGTGCATGTATAGATAAAACGGATAGAAAAGGCTCGATTAGATCTTGGTTCGGTTGGGCATCGCTCGAAAAAAAGGAAAAGGGTCTCGCGACCGAGGAGTGAGAGAGGGAGAGAGAGAGAGAGAGAGAGGAAAAAGAAAGGAAGGGGACAATAAGAGACGACGCACGAGTCTGGTCTGGTCCCCTGTCGACTCTCGCGTCGAGAGCGACCAGTGAGCGCGTCGCCGTCGCGTTGGTTCGTACTTGGCGCTTTCGCGGAGCGCGCGCGATCGGTAGCGCCACGACGGGAGCCGCGGCGCGGCGGATCGGCAGGCACGCCGATCGGGCGCGGCGAGAGCGAGAGGAAGAGGAGAGAAGGACTAACAGGAATAAGAAGACGAGCGTGCGCGCCGCTCTTTCGCGAATTCCGAGCGCGTGATTGCGCAGGCCGTCGGGCGACCGGCTGCGTGGAAGGATCGCGAGGGGCGAAAAAGAGACGGCCGGTGCGCGCGTGATTCAGCGTCGTCCTCGCCACTCTCCCTCTCTCTCTCCCTCGCTCTCCTCTTCCGCTCATTCCTCTCCTTTTTCAGCGGTGTCCCTCCGACACCCTCGCGCTCGACCTACCTACCGTTCTATTTCTCTATCTTTCTCCCTCTCGTTCCCCCCCCTCCCCGTCCCATGCTCCCTCTATCCCGTCCGCCTTTCTCGCTCCCTCTCGCCGCGGCCGTCTCGCTCGCACCCGCGTACCTCCGCCTTCCTATCCGCCGAGCGGAGGACTGGATTCCGTCGAAAAGAAACGACGATTCGGAGGATAGTCGCGACCGATCATAGCTGGCGCGTCGATCGGATCAACCCAAGTGAACTAGCCGCCGCGACTAACCGCATCGCGCGCGATACACAAGTATCACCGCGTCGCGCGCTGCGCGTGCCCTCCGACCTTTACTTTTTTTTTTATTCCCTCCCCGCGACTCGTGGTGCGCGTCCGGCCGGTGGCTCGCACTCTTTCTCCGGGAGGGACCCCCTTCGACTCGACGCGAGGGTGACCCCCGTGGTCGACCTTCTCGCGGTTCTCGCGGTTCCGCGAGTGTGTGCCCGACACGCGTGAGCGTCCCACCGAGGACTGAGAACCGCGATCGCGACCGACTGTTTTCGACTTGTTCCCGCGCGTGTTGACAGTGTTCCGAGTGTGCATATGCCGGCAACGGACCGAGAGGATCGCGTGCAGCCGGGCACCGGATCGCGACGACGGGACGCGCGGGAGTGTCGTCGCCGGCGCGAGTAGCACCCTCGCCGGGGGTGGCGCGTGACGAGAGGAGAGAGCCAAAGTGCGAGGATCGCGCACGGAGGATCCGACGAAAGTGACGGCAGCGTCGGGAAAAAGTGACGGGATTCAGCGAATGCCGCGGACTCTTGAAACGATGATCGCGTAGCGGCGCCCGACCATCACGGCCCTGAGCGGCCGACACATCATGTCACAGTTCTCTTTCCGAGGATCGCCAAATCTACAGGTGAGAGCGCCCGGCTCCATCGCAAACCCTGTCGCGCGTCTACGCGCGAGTAAAAATCGCGCGCTTCGAATCTTGCGGCTTTCTGTCAAACGACACGTCAGCGTGTCGACTTTGACGTTAGCGCGAAAATTCAACACTCGCAAGTGGACGTGCGTATCTAAGAGATTTGCCGCGAGATTTCGAATCGAAAATCTTCCATCGACGCGAGTGATTCGATGATAAGATCGATGCAGGTCGACGATTAGGAGACGCGAATAGATAAATCGAGGCGGTGTAGTGTCAGAGATCGCGTCGCAAACAATTCTCCATTTTTACTTTGTGGACAAATCTTTCGATCTGGCTTTATCGGTATATCGTTGTAAAAAATTGCACATTTTACTCGACTACACGTATATCAAACGAGAGAGACGGAAATCGATAATCATTCGAGAGAAAAGTGAACGTTCGTTAGCTTATAAATAGTGCGCCACACGAAACATTGTATATATTTGTCCATACATTTAATGTTTCGGTTTAAAAAGAACGCGACATAGAAAATTGATCTTTTTTCTCAATCACGAATTATTTATTACGTGTTTGTTTCGTTTGTTACACTGTCGTGTCGTTCCTTTAATTGCACAACGAGATAATGAATTAAATCAGCAAAAAATCTTGTATTAATTTAAACGCGTTCCAATTATACTGTTTCGTTAACATGATTACATTTAACATGGTTACATTTTCGGCTCTCGTTCTTTCCCTATTTGTAGAACTAATAATTTAACATATAATCAATAATAAAAAATAGCGTGTAGCACAAGTTTTCGCCAGTGTTTATTTTTTGCTAAACAGTTTTCTCCAAGCGCTGGATATTTCTGTTCAATTTCGCGCCGAGATGATTAAAAGCGTCCAACCAGAAATATCAAATCTAAAAAACATTGCAATTTTTTTTTCGTGCACAAACGTTACGTGCAGTCGACATACAGTCGCGATATTATTTATTCTTGGCTTGCAAATAAATCCGTCTGCGATCTGCTAAATCATATTTGTTGACGACATATTTTATCACATTGATAAAAAATACACATATTCTTTCTCTCAAAGTCTCTTGCGTTAATAATTCAGAAAAGAAACAAACTAATTTTTTATCAGTATACAATGATATACATATATATGTGTATAGTTTGCTGTCGTTTGCTTTAATTGCTGAGTTTCTTCTCATCATTGTATGTTAATGATGTTCTGACTAAACGAATTTTTTCTCAACGTAATCTCGATCCGAAACGTTAATTTAACTTATTTGGAAGTAAAATGCAATTAATAATTAAACAGAGTAATATATATATATATGTTTTTGCGCGCAAATATCGCACATATACGCGATAAATATCCTTATTATGTAACGATATGAACGAAACAAAACATTGTCGGAGTGATTACAAAAGCAACTTTACCAGGTTAATCGTTCTAACAGCATTGTCGTCGTTTGCAGAAATTACGATCGGCTAATGTCGCACGCTACGCGATCTGTGTTTAAAGCGCCCTCGTTATAAATAATTCTCGCCATTCGAAATTACGATGCGTGCGACGCGTCGTTAACTCGTTTTCGCAAGGCGTATCGAATAATTTGTAGGGGGAAGAATTTCGCGGCGGCAAGAGAAAGAGAGTGAGAGAGAAAGAGAGAGAGGAGAGGGTCGCGAAAATGAATAGCCGTTGGCAAGGCTGAGAGGTTCCGTACCACGTGTCCTGACACGCTGCATATAGGTATATATACCTCTCTCCGTGTGCATATATGCCGCGCGTAGCGCTGAACTGAGAACATGTGTTGCCACGCCTAAATGATCGAAGAGCCGAGCGCTCGGCGGAATAATTATCTTGTCTTACTAACAACGAAGGTTTTTGTCATAATAGCGGCGCTGCATTTGCTGCGCTTCAACCGTGTTTCGGAAAAGTGGATGCGACATTTTTCTCTTTCCACCTGTCATATGTTATGTCGTACATCTTGGAATCGATCTCTCTCTCTCTCTCTCTTTCTCTTATCGACAATATTTTCGACGTATATGAAATTTGCCGAGACTGACGTTTAAGAAAAAACTATTCGCGGCGAATGTTGTTGACACAAGTAAGTGCAGGTAAAAGGAGTATAGAAGATATGAAGGAATGCCGGCGCGCAAAACGCGTTCGTTACAAGCACTTCACACGTAACATGTTGTTAAAGTGCTAGATAAAATTAAACGGTCTGTTATCAATAAGTGTTACTCCACTTAGGGCGTAGTTAGAACAAAAGGAAAGAAATAATTGTTAGGTAGTCAGTGCATATTCATCATTGATGTATTTTCGATGCGAGCGAGTCGTTGGACACAATAATACGTTACGGTCGCAACAAAACAATTTTTTCCTTCCCATCTCTCATTTTTTATTCATCGTTTCGCACTGTATATTTCGCAACAATAACAGTCATAAAATATGATAGGATATAATCCGAAGAAAAGAATTTTTTTCCTTCAGAGCTAATAATATATATGCGTACATATCACAAATTTATTGGAATTGTGTACCCTGTACAAACACTTGCATTATCTTAAAAATAACTCTCGTTTAAGAACGACTTAATACGCTACGTCGATCTTGATAATTATATCGCGTATCAATGACGTAACACACGAGTCCGCGTTGCGGAAACGGTAAACCAAAAACCGGTGCAGACGGACGTGTAAATTTATCACGACGATTTTAAAGTTGTGCGAGTAGCTGATCGTCGATCTCTGAAATTTTCCATTTTATTTTTATCATTCCCCGTTCCATCTTATCGTATTCTCCACAATTTCCATATCGCGTCTGAAATATCCCAATGTGTAAATGATCGGAAACAATATTGACATTGACCATTACCTAAATTAATCCGCCACGCGTGATGCCGACACGTCTCCGGACACGAGAGACGCGAAAATGGCGACGATACAGATCCTCGTCGTTTAATTCGGGCTTTGAAAAATTGTCGCGCCATAAATACGAGTCTTTTTTTCCTCTTTTTTTAAACCGCGCGGCGGTTGCATTAAATTTAGAATGGCGCTGGAATTCATATCGCTAATCCGTGTCGGTCAATTTAATTGAAATAACGACCTCTCGCGCTTATCCTATTCTCACTCGTCATCCTCTTTGACTCTGCCGCGTTATTTTTGTCGCGCGATTTTCATTCGTCGTTGATGTATCGAGGAACCGAGATGCCGCGGTTAAGCCTACAATTTGTTACTCTACCAACAGCACACAAAATGTCACAATACAAACTTCGCTAAACTTGAACTTACAATGACGAATTCATACGGCGTCCCTTAGACGTGGGCGGATAAATTTATACATGAACGATCTCGATTTTTTTTTCACTGAAAACAGTCACGTCTGAAGTAAAATAACCAAGACACGCGTCATTGTACACTGCCGAGTCGTCCTGACACGCGATCGCTTACGCTAGTTACGACGATCACGAAATTAGACGCGGCACAATGCGCGGTTGACAAAGGTGGCAACAAATGGACTTGACCGAAGATGAATCGAAGATTCGCGTTTGTAATTCTCGGTCTTTGACTGACTGAGATTACATTCGTAATACGACGAAAAGTTTGCGATGATTGACCATTGAAAATGGAGAATTTCTAGAATCCAAATTTTAGAAACTCCCCAAGCAATCGGTGCATCCCAGATCTTTTGTCACATAAATGTTCAATATCAGACTCTCGCCGCAGTACAAGAGATCCATAAAACATTCGATATAGAATCCAAATTTGCAATCGGATTAGATGGAATTCATGTATATATATATATATACATATGTTCTAAGTTAATATTTACACTTGTGTAGTGAAATCCGTGTTGCTTCGTGACAAATATGTGCGCGAGACACGTCAGTGAATTTTACCGAGTCTTAAATAACCCGTTACAATATTTCCTGTTATCGCCGCTCGTCGAATCACGATATGAATGGAGACAATATTGGAAATTCGTGCATGATACGCTGATATGTCGGTTTAATCGTAATAATTGATGGCTATCGTATAACCAATGTGACGAGAGTGCTACGTGAATGACTTACGTAACTAAATTATATCTTAGCACACACTGTATACGATATGATCAGATCATGTCACATGTATTTATCTGTTTTGTGCGATTGGTTCCCACTCGAATCGATCACTTTGCAATCAATTTTGTGTCTCAAACAGTCATGTATCTTAAAAAGAATTATATATTTCTTCCTTTCTCTATGAAAATATAAGATTCTAATACTATATAATAATACGATTATGATTACTATATTATAATAGCGAATAATACTGCAAGCTGTTAAAATATTATTTCGAATAAAAAAAATAGCTAATTAAAAGATACGAGGGATTTTGGAGGAAAATATTTGATTTGTGGTATAAAGGAAAAGGCATTTCGGAGCTCGAAACGTCCGATGACAGCGATTTGAACGGAAGAGATGCAAGGGACGAAGTCCCCATTGACAACGAGCATATAAAAATTATGAATGACCATATTATTGCAAGTTGGCAGAGCGACGACGTGTCGCGGCGCGTTGTATGTGTAGGTGAATATATATATATATATATATATATATATATATATATATATATAAGTTCGCGTCCAGCGGTTAGCGCTGTTTCACTCGCTGACTTGGCGCTACTTGAGCCGGTCTCTAGAGCTGACTCAGATCCGCCCTCGGTCTTTCTCTCTCCCTCTCTCTTTCTCTCTCGCTCTTTCGACGTTAGTATTCACGTTCTATACTCGTTACGACATTCGGAAAATTCACATCGACTATGCGAGCTGTCAAGGTACAAATGGTCGATCGAAAATATTCGCGTCAATTTCGTAATCAAATGATAATTACATCGATTCGCGTGACGGATGCGAATCGAACACCCCTTCTTCGTACTTCCCTTATCGTCGGGAAGCTCTCAGCTTCGGTTTTACACGCGTAATAACTCTCCCACACGATAAGTCACCGGTAACACAGTAGCCGC